AAAGAAAGGGGGAAAAGATAAGAAAAGAGAAAGAAGAAAGAAAGAGAAAGAAAGGGGGAAAACAAAGAGGAATAGAAAGAAAAAGAAAGAAGAGAAAAGGTAAAGAGGAAAAAAGAAAAAGAAGAAAGAAGGGAAAAAAGAAGAGGGGAGAAAAAAGAAAGAGAAAGAAGAAAGAAAGAGAAAGAAAGGGGGAAAAGATAAGAAAAGAGAGGAGAAGAAAGAAAGAAGGAAGGAAGGAAGGAAGGAAGGAAGGAAGGAAGGAAGGAAGGAAGAAAGACAACAGACCAAATACATGAATAGAGAACCAGACTGGTGAAATTGGAGTTTTTGCACATTGTGTTTCTCTTCTCTGAGAATCTGATTTTTCCTATTTAGGAGGTGGCACACCCTCTCTCTTTATATGCAGCGACAAAGAGAGCAAACCCCACTCCCTTTAGCACTGATAAGGTTACCTAGTTGGGTCACGAAACGTCTGCAAAAAGCCACCAAGAAAACTTCAGAGAGCACTAAGGACACCTCCCTACCCCTGTTCAAATATTCCTTTCTAAGGCGGCTTTCGTTAAATGGCTAAAACAAAGGATGGGATAGATGGGAAGCCAAGGGGGGTGGGAAAAAGGCTTTTTAATGTTTAAAAAAAAGAGAAAAGGAGGCAAAACTCAAGACATCTCTGACCAGATTGGAAGAGAGGATCGATTCTGAAGAATAAAACTCAACATTTCATGAATTAAAAAAACAACAACAACAACTCAATATCGGAAAGTCCCAAAAGGCTGGTTGTCTTGCGGATGAGATTCGGTGGAGGGGAAGACACTGATCTGACGTTCAGAGGACCGTAGTAGACAAACGTATATCCTTTATTAACCAGACAGAAGCGGAGTTTCAGATTTTAGGAAGCACCGTCTTGCTCCCTTCTCCAACCACGCTAGACCGCTGAGACACAGATTTCTTCCCGTGAACTTCGGGGCCCTGGCTGTTGGCATCCACCTCGGGTAACAGACTGGCAGTGTTACTTTTCCGTACAGACCACGAAGGCCTTGGCGTGCCCATTGCCGAAGGCGTTTTCTCCAAATCCTGAATTTCTGATTTCTTAGGACTATCCATGATGGTGGAGACCTTGGCGGTGGAAGGAGCCGGCTTCGAGCTTGGGGGTTGGATGTCGTCATTCTCATTGCCCGAAGGCGGTTCGGCATCGGATGGGAACTGTGGAGGGACGATCTCAAAAATTTGTGGCTCTTCCTGCTCCGATAAGCCTTTTTGGGTGCCATGGTCTCCAGCCCCCTTCACGCGGATCACTTTCCCTTTGGGTTTTGTGAGCAAGCTCTTCTCCATTTTCTTCTTCTCCCCAGCTCTCTTCTGTTTCTTCTCTTCGCCTTTCTTCTTCTTCTCTTGTTTGGGGACTTTTGGCTTGGGCGGCCGCTTCTTGTAGACCTCCTCGTAAACCTTGGTCCAGTCAATTTGAGAAGACAGACGTATCCCACTGCCCTTGATTTTCTTGTAGCCAAACATGATCTCCAGAAGGACCTTGGTGACCGGGACGGAGATAAAACCCAGCTTCTCAGAAAGCAGGGTTTCGTAATTGTACTTGTACAAAATCAGCTTGGCGGCGTTTTCGATCAAGAAATCGATGATGGATTGCTTCGGGACAGGTTTACCCTGAAGGCGGGCCCGTTTGATGTCTTTTGGAGTGATGGCATGCCTAGTCTGGAGAAGTAGGAGAAACCAAGAACTGGGTTTTAAAAGAAGTGATTGACATATCTTAAAGATCATTCAAATGAGAGATATAAACGAGACTGGAAAAAATGGATTGACTATATACAAAACAAATACGGGACNGAACTGCCTATCTGAATGCAAGGCCCCATTAATCTCCACCGCCCCCAAAGCACTTAGGCCCCTCTTTCCCAATAGCTCCCCCCTTCATAATAGAGGCTCCCCATTGAGGAGCTGCCTATCTGAATGCAAGGCCCCATTAACCCCCCACCCAATGGACTTAGGCTCTCATGATAAAGCTTCCGCATTCAGGAGCTGCCTATCTGAATGCAAGACACCATCAAATCCATCCACCCCCCGCCCCCCAGGCTGGGGATCCTGGGAGTTCGTAGCCTCCGCTTCTCCTCACCGGATCCGTATTTGACCTCGTGCGAGTGCAGCCGCACGTTGTGCCGCGTGTTGAGCAGCTTCAGCACCGAGCCGCAAGTGACAGCGCCCGCCTCGGCCTCCTTCGCCCGGCCCGGCCGGCAAGCCAGCAACAGCAGCGGCAGCAGCAGCAGCAGCGGCGGCAACGGAGGAAATGGGCCGGGCCGGGCCGAAGAAGAAGCGCCGCCGCGCGGTCGCCCCATCTCCGCTCCTTCCCAGGCTTCCTCCGGCTGGTCGGAGGCGAAGCAGCGACAGCTCGAACTTCGCCTCAGCAGCCGTTTCCGGTAGCGGCGCTCGGCGGCAGCCAATCCGCGGCTGCCAACACGGAGCACGTGCTTCGGCCCGCCCCCCGGCGACGCGACGCTGGGACGCTGATAGGCTCGAGGCGCGCGGCGGGGCGGCCAATCAGCTGCGGCGGCGTGGCGGACGGGAAAGGGGCGGGGCCGGGATGGGAAGGCTTGAGGAGAAAAAGAGCGGGAGGGGCCGCAAGGTGGTAGCTGCGCACCGAAGAAGCCGCCGGTTCGAATCCCGCCTTCCGTCCCACGTGACCTTTAAAGGCTCTTATTTAAAATGCTTCCTCTTTGAGGGATTAAGTGTTCCTGCTATGGTGTTTAGTGACGGAGACGATCGTTCTTAGGGTGTTGAAAGATTAAACACGGAGCTATGTCTTGGTGTATTAGGTCAACTGACATGTCACTTTAATCTCTGGGTGAAAAAAAGAAAAAATAAGGAAGGAATGAAGGAAGGGAGAGAAAAGAAAGAAGGGAAAAGGAGAAGAGAAAGAAAGAGAGAAAGGGAAGAAAGAGAGAAAAAGAAAGAGAAAGAAGAAAAAAGGGGAAAAACAAAAAAGAGTAAAAAAGAAAGAAGAAAGAAAGGGGAAAAAGGAGAAAAAAGAAAGAAATAGAAAGAAGGAAGAGAGAAAGAAGGAAGGAGAAAGAAGAAAGGGGAAAAACAAAAAAGAGAGGAGTAAAAAGAATGAAAGAGAAAGAAGAAAGAAGGGGAAAAGAGAGAAAAAAGAAATAATAAGGAAAGAGAAAAAAGAAAGGGGGAAAACAAAGAGGAATAGAAAGAAAAAGAAAGAAGAGAAAAGGTAAAGAGGAAAAAAGAAAAAGAAGAAAGAAGGG